ATGTGGTGCTGGGGGATTGAACCGCGGTCCCTGATGCTTTGCCAAGCTTGTTCTAAGTAGGTGCCTTAGACCACTGAGCCATCTCTCCAGCCCCTGTAATTTTTATTTTAAATATTAGAAGTTGCAAAGAGACTTGTAAGATATTTAAAAAGTGGATTTTTATGACTTTAGATTTTTATGTGTTCTTTTGGATATCACTTTTTCAGAAACACTTATAGTAATGTCAAATACTAAGATAAAAATTTCCCTCTTTTTTAGATAATTTATATTTAATCAGGAACTTCTTTTTTAATTCTCATCATAAATAGTGAAAAAAGTATAGAGTAATTCATGCTCAAAGTTTTATGTACTAAAACAGTACAAAAATTAAACCATTTCCCTACCTTAGACTTTATCATTTGTATGAAAATATGGTTTAATGTAAATAATTACCTTTTTTCTTAATATCATTTCAATTATAAAAATAACCTCACTGTAGAAAACAAAAGTACAGATACAATTTTAAAAATATTGGAAACCTTGCCATCAAGAGAACCCAGTATTAGTCTCCCCATATATTTTTTCCTGCATTCTCTTCTGCCGTTACTATATATTAAATGTGTGTAGACTAACAGACACGCTACATTATAAGCTTAGAATAGATCCACCAAATAGTACAAATCATTCTGTTCATTTAACTTATTTTCATCAATATATTTTCATGTATTTCTCTGCGTTGTTTTCAATAATTATGTAGTATTTTCTGTGCTTTTTGTAATACTTTACCAGTGTTTATTGGATACAAGTTTTTAATTTTTAAACTAATACAAGATGAGGTACTTAAAAATTTCAATAGGGTAGTCTTTGGGAGGAATTAGAATTCAAATAGAATAATGCTGAATTTCTATTCATAACATGATTAAACAGAAACTGTTTTTATCTAGTAATGATTCCTAATGATGAAATGAATCCAAGATTTTTGTGATTATATATTTTCATTCAAAAACGTTTTTTTTGAATTGTATTAAACTTTTTTCCAAATTATGTTTTTTTAAAAATTGTATTAAACTTTGCATTTCATGAACATAAATCATTTGAGTGTAGTGCAGTCTACCTTGTAGTTCGGACACACAATTAAAATGTGAGCTCTCACAGTTCTTACAATGCCTAAATTCAAGGGAGAATTTTTAAATTGCTCAAGAAACATTTCCTTAAATGGAAAGCCTAAATAGTGGCAAATAATCTTTTACCATCCAGGGGATTATTATTCACTGTAGCTTTATGTGACATTTCCTTCAACACCAGTGTACATAATATTAATTATGC